AGAGTCACTATGCTACGAGCCAGAAGGTCACGGGTTCGATTCCTGATAAGGTCATTGGATTTATCCATTTACCTAATCCTTCCAGTTACAATATGGTCCTGGGGTGAACTCAGCATCTAACAGAAATGAGTACCAGGAATCTTCCTGGGAGTAAAGGGCCGCTGGCATGTAAGACTGACAATGTCACAGCCATTTGTGAGCCGATTGTCTAGAAAATGTGGGATCATCGACATCTCACAACCCTATGGGCCTCTACGGCCTGTTACAGGGATAACTTTACCTTCACTCAACCTGTGCAGGCTGTAAAATATCACAGACAGATATGGGATATCCTGAAATTCTTAACAAGCATACGTTGTTATGATCTCATCTTAATATTAAAATTAAAGTGTATTTAATCCATAAATAATAGCAGATAACTTTCCTTTGAGTTTTCAATGGATATTTTAGTAGATAATTTATAGTTTTGGTAAACTGCTATAAATTCTTTTTTTTTATTGTTATTTATTTATTTATTTATTTAAAGTGATTGTTAAGCATTCCCCTTTAGTAATTACTTGTTTTAGTACTGTGAGCCTCTGCCTTGTTTTTGCATTAATATTTCTGTGTACATTTTTATGTTGGTTTCTCATCACATTTAACTCTCAAGTATATACAGTTTTGGTCATGTTAGATGTTTTTGTTATTTAGGTGAATCTTGATATTGTGTAGTAAATGGCAGAGAGACATTTTGCAAATTTGTTTTCAGTGCATTTATCATTATTACATTTTTGTTGCACCAGTCCAACAGTTTATCAAGTGCCTTTTCTTAAATAAATATGCAGTAGTATCAAAAGCAATACATCTAACAATGAAGTATTTCAAATGCTGGTGATGTTGCAGTGGTTCGCGGTTCCCTGGGAGCATGAATGTGGACATGAATGAAATATATAACAATATGGTTCCATTCCCATGCTTGCGCTATATATCAAGTAGTGTCAGTCCACTTTTATTTCCTACATCAGGCAGCAATACTGCCCCAGGAATGTCACTGAAGTGAGTATGGGACAATGCATAACTGTTACTTTGTTTCATTTTACATTGCTTTATCAGCTGAAAATCTATATACTAACGACTGTGAGCTGGCAGTGTAATTATGAAATGTCTGGAAGGTTGTGGGAGTAAACAGTTTCTTAAAGTACTATCCCAACATATTCTGTAAGAGACTGAGGAAAAACATAATAGATAGGTGTGAGTGAATCTCAAGAGTTTCAAGATCAGGTCAAGAAAAAATACCTCAATCTAAATTTTAACATTAATTTTTCATTCTCGAACTTGTTAAATTTTCAGGTAACTGCTTTTTCATTATGCTATAGCACACAGGTTACCCAGAATCATATTAGCTGTCAGCACTGGCGCAAACAAACTTCTCAGCAGGGTGAAAAATAATCTGGCCATGGAATTTTATATATCTAAACACAATAACGTAAGAAAATTTGTCATTGAAAAAGTATTTGATATCAAAAAGGATAAGTGGTACACTTTGAACATTGTGAAAAAGTGGCTAGTACTATAAATTGTGACAAAAATTAAATAATTGGTCTAGTAGAGAACATTCTCATTATCATCTCAGACTGAAAATATCCTCACACCCTCTTAATAATAAACATCAATCAGAGTAGCAATCTCTTGACCAAGATTTAGAGCAGTGTTCTCACAAATATACTGCAGGAGTATTAATGATTACTCTGAAACAGTGGTTTAGTAATATGACTATTTCTATCTATAATACAAGGGCTATTTGAAAAGTAAACTCTGGTGAGCTGATAACAAGCAATGAGAAAAAAAATGTTATTATTCTCAGTATAGTCACCTCCAGAACTGAGGCACTTGCCATATCGGGAAATAAGTTTCTTTATGCCTGTGTCAAAGAAGTCTACCACCTGAGAACTCAGCCACGTTTTGACACCCTCCATCAAGGATTGTTATTTAAAGTAGCCACATATTTTAGTTTCCTTTCTACTGTCAGTACATCTGTTGAAAATATTTACAATGTTTGTAACATTTTATAGTCACAAGCAGTTGAATCACCTTGCAACACTTCTCAGAATGACAATTGCTTCATGAGTGACATAGTGTTTGGAGGTGCAATGTGCCATGAGCTTATTCCAAAAGTGTGAGTCACATAGAACGATGTTTTAATGGGTGACGCATATGCATCCTACTGGTGGGTCTTGATTGCTAAGTGGAACCTGGGGTTTTGAAAATGTGAATTTCCATTAATGATTAGTATTTTCACATGAACAATTGACTCTTGGCAGGGTTTTGGATTAGATATTGGATTTATTGACCACTTTAACACACAACTCATAATTACAATTAAGTATAGCTCACTCAACTAATTTCCACACTTTACAGTTCACTAGACATCTTCTAATAATGGCTATTCCTCTGCTTCCAGGCTCAAGTCCTCCCTGAATGGCAACTCCTTCCCAACTGAACTATTCTTGCTTCAGTTGTCCTCCTTATGACCTCTTTGCACGGACCAAGTAGAAAATGCCATTTCCCACAGTACCTCTATTGTAGCATGTGTATCCATCGCTGCAGGAACGTGTTTACCGAGCCTTTGGCTAGAAACAGCTCTAGTATATTTGCTTATCTCGCGGTCATTGCATAGTAACGACTCTACATGCTACAATATAATACTAAAATATGCATAATTTAAAAAATGCATTTCACATAAAAAAATACTTGTTACTATTACGGTGAGACTACATTTTGGAGAAGGGTGCAGTGGACCATAGGATACAGAGGGTTGAGAAGCACTGGGATGGCACTGTTTAGACAGAAACAAAGAAAACTAAATTTAACCAGAAGGGATGCGGGTAGGCTGTTTGGTTCAGAAAACATACACAAACATTATTCTGTAATGTGAACAATGCTGGAATTACTTGATTGGCAGGCCAGATGACTTATTTACATCAGCATGGTCACGAGGCAATCAGCTTCTTAAGGTTGACCCCCTTGGTGGGACTGTACTGGGTGCAACTCTCTTGGCAAGGGGGTCAGTTTTTGTTTCTGATATGCGCCGCAACATAGACAGGTAAGAAACATTCTCCCAGTTTTATGGACGCATTTTATAATTTACTTTTATGTCTGTAGTAAATTTTATTTCAAGAAAATTCGAAGATCTAGTTGTTTCTTAACTGTGATAATAAGTGTTCTGATGTTGACTGGATCCAACTTGTGTGATTTTCCAGATTTCAAAAGAAAACACAGTTTATTCCATGGAGCTGTAGCGATGCCATGAAGACTGGGTTGTGCTCAGTTCCACCGCCAGGTCTTACATCTTCAGTTCTGTCCCTAATCAATACATCCAACATGTCATCCTTATTTAAAGATGTTGCACAGAAATTTAACAAATTATATCAAAGAAAGGTGAATATATGTCAGAACCTGTAATCTGTTCTCAATCACATTTCTGATTCAGGTCAGTTTTACTCATAGTCATGAGCCTGCTTCACATACATCCAGAACTGTAAGTAAGAGTTGTTAGTACAGTCTTATGTGTGATAAATAGGTACAAGTACTGCATGTAAATATGCCATATTTTTGCTCATATAGGTCACACATTTTATTCTAAAGTTTGTCCAGTACGTGATCTACACAAACATGAATCATGAATTACATCAACCAAGTCTTCTACCAAAAAAACAGGGTGTAACCAATACATGAAAGAACATGATAATATGATATGTAAGTGGAATGCAAAGAAATATATCATCCTTCATAAATTCGGAGAGGAAAATGTGCATTTTAAATGAAACAGAGTAAGTGCATTAACACACACAGAACTATATGGCATGAGAAAAATGTTCAAATATGGTATGGTACATTATTTTCCACTGTCATGTCATCCAAGTTTCTTTAAGTTCTTTGACAGTAAATACAGGATTACTGTATTAAATCAAATGCAAGTTACTGTCCAAATATATCTTGTTTATTGCCTAAGTAGACTGTTTGTTACAGAGACCTGAAAAATTTTTTTTTTCTTACAAGACATAAGGGGGTGTACCTTATTAAAAGAAAACTTTGTGATTCATATGTATAAAACTTTAAAACATCTGGGGTATGTTAAAATTATATCATTGTGACATGATGGCTGAAAGGTGGAATAGCAGAGCCAAAAGAGGTGGCCTTTGCTAGTCAGTGGCCAGTAAACACATTCCTGTGCCAACAAACATGCAGGTCATCACTAATTAACAGCCCACATACATGTCACACAACAATAGAGGTGCTATTGGTGGTGGTGTTTTCTTTGTGGTCCATGCCAAGGCTATATAACAAGGACCAATGGGGCAAGTTAGAGTGTTTTAATCTGTTGTCAGACAATAAGGATGTGAGCAGGGGAGCTGAAAAATCTCCACTCTGAAGAGCTGTCTCCAAGCAATGACAAGTGAAGACCTAGAAGACTTTATGCATGCTGCTATTTTCAGAGTCTGTAAACTAGTGAGGCTTTTATAACTAATTGTAGTTGCAAGTCATAAGTGCTCAGAAAATCCTATTACTGGTCCAAATGCCATGAAGTTGATCACATTGTTTTATTGTGCTGTTTGGGGCTATCTCATACTCACTTTCTATTGGTGTTGATTAACTTGAAACTCTGTTGCCATGTATGAGACAGCCCCAAACAGCATAACAAAACAATGCGGTCAACTCTGCAGCACTTTGTGAAATCGACATTGCCACGTTGCAGCATACCATATGTCTGACGTTTAGGAGACTCATGACGCAGATGGTTTTAATGTTTGACATGTTTTTGTTTAATAAAATATACCACCTGTTGATGGTCATGTAAGACTGAAACATACTGGGATCTCTGTAATGCTTAGTCTACTTCGGCAATAAACAGTATATGCCGAGATAATATATCAAGAAATTAATCCTATCAAAAGATTACTATATTGTGTATTATAGTGATATGTAACACCTATAAAGTCATCAACATAAGCCTGTGATTGGAACATAGAGGATTTGTGATTAATGATAATGTAATATAACAATTTTTCAACAGATACACATATGTGCATATACACAGAAAGGATAGTAATTTTCTGTTAGAAATACACAAATTGTGAACAAGATAAGATTACTGTAGTAAATTTATCATCAAGATGTGTTTGTCATGGAAGATATCAATGTTTCAATGTATGACATTGGTGTGGTAGTGTAAACTAATATGTTCTTAACATATTATGTTCTTTCAAACTTTCATAAAGGCTCATGTACACCATTACCTTCAAGTACCTGGATTCGATGAGGAGGACTTCACGAACAGCCTTGAGAGTTTGCACGAGGTCGAAGAAGGATATGCTCAGCTCACAAATCTCAAAGCCCAAACAATACCAAGGTTACAAGTACTCTGATATATAACATTTTAATGAAGAGGTAATGATTCTAAAGTATTTTGATGAAAAATAAATTAGTTTTTTGTACAGTGAGGATTGATTCTTAATAAAGTTTAACAGACTGTATAATTATCTGGCTCTTGTAGTTTCAAACTACAGCTGTGTGCTATATGAATCGTGGGTATTAAGTGAAGAGTATTAGTATTAGTATTTATTGAGTATTCCAGACATCCACAAGGTGGATACAGGACTTGTCCTTACTCAGTACATACAGACCAATTACAAAAGTTGTTTACATGGAACATTACAACAGTATAAAATATAAATAGTTATGGCCTTAGATTACATAAATAGAAAGTCAGAAACATATCATTTAAGAATAATCATATTAAATAAGAAATCCACAATAAACAAATAATTATGAGTTACAAATAGTAAATAAATCCTGCAGGTTACAGAAAGTAAGATTAATTGGCAATGCACAGGTAGAACTCATAATTATAACAAAACAGGCATTATAAAATTTACATTCAGATATGTTTATTATAACTACTGTCATTATTGATCAAAGTACTCTTCTAATGAGTAGAATGAATTCATGTATAACATTTTTTTTAAATTTTTTAAAATAATAAAATTCTTCGATTGATGCTTTACATCATCAAGTCAGTCGTTGGTTTTTGTCATTTTGTTGCGTTTCCATGGACAAATTGGAGTATTCTATATTTTGTGTATATATAATAAACTGTTATTTGAGGCTTGTGTTTCTATATTAGTATAATTTCATAACTGTCTACAGGCAGTGCATTTACATCAACAACAAATATGCACTGCCTTGTAGTATGTTTGAATTTCCGACTGGCATATGAGTACCAGAAGTATGTTGAAAATAGAATATAATAACTTTTTAAATATAGGATAATGGTATACTTCACTACCTGGATTAATACAACCTATTTTGTGCACTCTCATAACTTTATACATCATTGTAAGATTT